TCTCCGCTCTCGGGGATATCTCTAGGGTCTCTCTCGGTCACACGCCTATATTCGCGAGAACTGTCTCTCTATCGGGGGAAGAGGGTGTCTCTCGACTCTCTCTCTCTCTCTCTCTCTCTCTCTCTCTCTCTCTCTCTCTCTCTCTCTCTCTCTCTCTCTCTCTCTCTCTCTCTCTCTCTCTCTCTCTCTCTCTCTCTCTCTCTCTCTCTCTCTCTCTCTCTCTCTCTCTCTCTCTCTCTCTCTCTCTCTCTCTCTCTCTCTCTCTCTCTCTCTCTCTCTCTCTCTCTCTCTCTCTCTCTCTCTCTCTCGGCTGGACTGCATGTTTCGGCTCACCAGGCACTCCCGTGAGGATGAGCGACTGCAGGTGGATCGCGTCGACCGACGGCACGGAGAACATGAGCGTGTTGACGACGTAGACGGGGACGTGGTGGATGACGTCCATGCGGTTCGTGTTGAAGAAGAGGGGGTGGTAGACGTGGATCGCGTAGATCCACGCCATGTACAGAGCATTCGGCTGCCCGTCCGGGCCGACCGACACGCACTGCTGAGGCGAGAGCAGCGCGCGGAGTCCGCCGCCGAGCGTGAGCGCAGAGATGACCACGTTGGCGACGAGGTGGAGCACGAAGAAGGGTCGCTTGAAGCGGCGCGCCACCGCCTTGTCGACGATAAAGAGGACGCAAAAGGCGGTGGCGAAGCAGATGGCTGCGTTGATGGCGTGGTCCGTGTTGATTTGCGCTGGGATCATCATCGCCGTGTGAGCTTCCACGACGCGTGAGAGGATCTCCATGATGGTGAGAGAGTGGTGAGCGGTGGAGGACGTGCGAGAAGCCGATGTCGGGTGGTCGATGGCCGGCTTGAGGAGCAAGGAAAAAGAATTTTAGCTCTTTCCTACATAAGAGTGAGCAGTCCGACGAGAGTGGGACGGCCGCGAGGTGGCATGAAGGTTGCAGCGAGAAGCGGCGAGAGACTGCGAAAAGAGATACGAAGAGGCAGACTCCCCAGGGTGGGCGACGGAGAGAGAGAGAGAGAGAGAGAGAGAGAGAGAGAGAGAGAGAGAGAGAGAGAGCGACGGCTAGCGCATCACACTCTCCTCTCCTTAAAATCCCTGTGTGGTGGCGGCGTGCCGTTCTCCCATCCCTCCCTTGGGTTGTGTGTTTTCTTTCTTTCTTTTTTTGAGCAGTCCGAGCCCGACCGTTGTTCATCTTTCTACATACATACATAAGAGTAGTGAGGGCCATGCTTGGAAAGGCATGAAACAAAACGGCGACAGGCATCTAGCACAAACGGAGCGTGAGTACATGGCAGAGAAACTGTTATGAACGTAAAGCTAGGCGGATGGGTGAAAACATAGAGCCAGCCAAGATCTCGGCCATTCGCTTGACTCTCTCTGTGAGCGAGACAGCCCCCAGCAGTGCCTTGCAAGATCATGCATTCAGGGCGGAGGCAAAGAATCGAGCTCGACGAGGAGACGGGCAAGGGCTGTCCCGTCTGAACGGAGGTCCTCACGGGAGAGGTCCTCACGGGAGAGGTCCTCACCGGGGGCCCAGCGCGGAGGTCCTCACGCGCGGGGAGGGGGGATACAAGCGCGTTGAATCAGCTCGGTGGCCGAGGGCAGTGCGACATTGATCGAGATAGGATCGAGAGCGGTAGACCGGGGCCGGCACGACCAACCCGACTGCTCGTTTGCAGGTGGGAAGGCTCATTAGTTGGGTGGGGTTTAAACACTGTCTTTCAATCGATACGAGACGGAGAGCTAATTAGCGCACTCAGCGGGCCAGATGCTCGGGATCGGGCTGCCAAAGCGGGGGCAAGAGAGCCCTGTCTGACCCTGGGGGTGCGCGGTCGCAGGGGGAGGGGGGGTGGGGGAGTTCTTTCCCTCGCCCACTCAGCTTGACAACGAATCGCAGCATAGATCATGATCGCCCATATAGTGGGAATGACATCGAACAATAACGATAAGGATATCATCAGGCATTTTCGCAGGAGCCTCTGCACCTCAGGCATTTACATAAGTCTTACTCAATTGACAGTGGGACAGTGTTGAGATTCCGCACCAGGCAGGCCCAGCCTTCCCACCCGGACGAGCAGTCGAGACGAGCACAGCCGTCGCTTGCCGATCTACCGCTCAAGAGGTCGCGCTGGCTGCGCTCGAGGCCAGCGAGCTAATCCAAGTTTGATCAGGACCGCCTTGTTGTCTCCCCGGGTTGTGAGGACCTCCAGTGAGGACCTCTCCCTGAGGACCTCTCCCGTGAGACTGCTGATGAACAAATCACCTCTCCGATCAGAGTAAGGATGGCACTGCACTGCTCTCCTACATCGAGCGGCACGCCACGAGTGCGAGAGACGATGCAGCAAGGCAGAGTCCGCACTTTGAATGGAGAGAGGTCCTCCGGGGACGTCCTCACCAGATGCGAGGTCCTCACTGGAGGTCCTCACACACAGGGACGCAAAGCTGGGGGCCCCCTGAACAATCGCGTTGGACTATCTCGCGCAGCAGTGCGACCTCTGAGCAAGCGGTAGAGCTCGAGGTAGAGCGGCACCGACGACTGCTCCCTCGTCGGCACCCTCGTCGGCACTGGGGCGGAAAGGCTGCTGCTGGCGGGGTGGTATTGTCTGTCATTAGTTTATATAGAAGGAGGGGGCTTTAGGGGTGCGTAGGGGACCATGAACAGTGCATACGGTACGATGAAGACTGTGTAGTGTAGTGTAAAATAATGATGAAGTTGACCTGCATGTGCGTCGTCCCATCTCTTGTGGATGTGGGTCCCGTCCCGTCTCTGTCGGGGGAAAGACCAAACTTTTCGAGGCACTCGGTCGTGCAAACGAAGTTGACAGTGGGGCATGTACGAGCCTTGGGTGAGTGAGTGAGTATTCTTGATACGAAACCACGACGCACCAGTCGACTCGCATCGGTTGCCTGAGCAGGCGGACATCGCTTCCAGGGAGGGGGGCGCCCTTCTCTGCACGCCCCCCCC